CATAGGTACGAGACACGCTCCCCCCAACCTTTGCAGGATTTTGCAAAAGCGAGGGGGGAGGGCGCATCGCCGCGCGGAGAGGGCTGGGCACAGGGCACAGGGGATCTCTCTCGCATAGGATACACACTCGGCGGCACGAGGGCAGGGCTGGGCGTCCTATTTGTGCTCCCCCCTGGATGGACCCCTGGCTCGTTGGCACTATCCATATAAAAATAGAAAACCTCCAGAAAGAAAGAAAGAAAACAGACAACCCAAGGGAGGGATGGGAGGACGGCACGCCGCCACCACACAGGGATTTTAAGGAGAGGTGTGTGGTGCGAAAAATGGTGATAGCCATGTTAAATTCTTTTCGCTGGTAAAATTCTTTTTCTAGCGGCGCCCGCATGCTGAGTACAGCTCCAGGAGGCCTCGCCGGAATCCCGCTGCGAAGTGTGCTGCGCGGTGCGTGCTGCCGCCCGAGGTACTTGAACCGTCCGGCATGTCGTGGCGCGACGACGATCCGATCGGCTTCGCGTACATCCTCTGCCTTGGCGTCACCGTCGGCCTTCAGCTCGCATGCTTCGCCGTCGCGGCGGCGCTTCAGTTCGACAAGATCACGGATCTGGCGGGCAGCCTGAACTTTGTCGTGCTGGCCGTGCTGACGCTGCTCCTTGCGGAGGACATTGGCGCGCGCCAGATTGTTGTGAGCTGCCTCGTGGCCGTCTCGCGGACAGAGCTCGCCGCCTTCCTGCTCTACCGCGTGCTTCAGCGCGGCAAGGACGCCAGGTTCGACACCGTGAGGGAGCGGCCGCTCGTCTTCCTGATCTTCTGGGTCTGGCAAATGCTCTGGGTGTTCGTCGTTTCATCTTCGGTCATCTTCATCAATTCAGCGGGCCACCTCGCCTCGCCCACCCTTTCGGCGGCGGATTACGTCGGTTGGGCTCTCTTTGGCTTGGGCTTTGCGGTTCAGGTCGTCGCAGACGTGCAAAAGTATCTCTTCCGGGCAGACCAGGCCAATCGCCGTCGTGTGTGCGACCGCGGGCTGTGGCGCTTCTCCCGCCACCCCAACTTCTGCGGCGAGGTGCTGCTGTGGATAGGCGTCTACGTGGCAGGGGCGCCGGTCTTTCGTGCCGCTCCCGCCGGCTGGTGGACGGTCGCCTCTCCTCTCTTCACGCTCGCGGTGTTAACGCTCTTCACGGGAATCCCGCAAGCAGAGGGGCAGAACGCGGTGCGATGGTACGATGGCGGCGAGGCGCAGGCGCAGTACGAGGTCTACTTTGAGAGGACGCCACCACTGTGGCTGCTGCCGCCACAGCTGTACCGGCTGCTGCCGCGTCGCGC